TCCATGGTCTGATTTTTATATAATTTAGTGGTGCTTTAGAAACTTTGTTTTTGTTGTTTATGAGCTAAACAGCTCAGCCCTTTTTCGCCTGTATCTACCTAAGACCAATGTGAACCTTTGTATTTTTGCTCCTAATTTTGGACTCAGTGAAAGTGTACTGTTTACATGTACAGACGCCCCGGTCCCTGTGTGTCCTGCAAGACTCGCCCTTGAGGAGGAAGGTGCACCTCACTAAGCTCATCTGCTTAGCAAAGCCACAAAACCAAACCTCTCACTTTTTACCTGTTTCCACCTAAAAACAAAAACAAAAAACCTACACCACACTGAACTCAAGATTTGCTGAAAAACACTTTGATAAGCTCAGAAAAATCTTCTGCATGCAGCAGATGGCCCACACGCCTCTGTCATGTGGTCCATTTGGGAGCAAGGCTCAGAACGGAGACTTCCTGTGGGCCGCTGGTGGGTAACTGCGTGGGCTCGTGAAAAGTGAAAGCAGGACTTGGCTGCAGAGCTGGGGCTGGAGAGAGTTCTTCCCCAGTAGCCTGGGAGTGGGAAGGTCACATTGACTCATGGGACCTTCAGGGTCCCCTAGGATTTAAGGACAACCCAAGAGGTTGCCAATCCTCTGGCATAATTTAAGACACGTTTGGAAAGAGCGCAAATCCCCTAACCTGAGATGAGACTTTAAGACTTTCCAGGGCCCCCTGGAGGCAGCTCGTTCATGAGGCATCACTTCTGGGGAGGGGCAGGGGGCTCCAGACAGTAAGCATGTGGCACTTAAGGCAAACAGGATGGCACCAACTTTTAAAGGTGACTCTTTATTACTTAATCAATGGCTTCACCTCTAAATTATATTTTTACAGATATGCACCTATGCAACTTAACGTGGCTCTTCTAAGCAGGCGAGGACTTCCTCCTCAATGCTCTATAACAATTATTTGTGTTCAATATAGTGAGTTTTTCCAGTAAATGTGGCTTAATATTTTAATTCTTAGAATGTGTCTTCTCTATGTGATGCAACTAAATTCTGTTTTGTTTGTGGAATGACTAGCACAGGCCAACTCCCTCTCCCCTCACTTAACAAAAAGACCAATGAGCTGTTAATCGAGCTGTTATCTCCATGGTATTACTTGCTAAATGCACTGATTTCATACGTATGTGGAATCCTTTTTCTTTTGAATCTGTATATCATATATAAGACTGAATCTACTTAATAAACACTGAATAACAAACTGAATGCTTTAATTCCACTGTGTCCTCAACAGCAACACTGCCAGCTAGTTCTGTTCCCTCCAAACCTAGTTTGGCACTGAAACACCATTCTACTGGTAGAGTCCACCCTTTCCTAGCCAAGAAGCTAGCACACTAGAAGATCCTTGGTAACTTTCTTGAACAAATAACCTTGTCAATTTTTTGGCACCTCATCCATCTTTAAGGGAAGGAAAGGAATCTTCACGGGTAACCTACTGGGTCCCAGCACAGGCACATGGCGCACTGAAATCTCCCCGTCATTTTTCCAGAGGGGTGCTCTTGGCCCCGCTTATGGATGAGGAAGAGGGACACACTGGATGCACGCCTCGCCTGGAATCAGCCAGTGACCAAGCAAGGTTTTAAATGCAGCTGTTTCCCTGCAAACCGCCTTCTTTCCACTCCCGTCACCCCAGGGCACAGTTGAAATAAAACTCAGG